CTACTGTTTCGTGAGAAACTATTTGTTCTGTAAGCCTTAACCTGAAGTACAATAAAAAAATAAGAATAAAAAAAATTTATTACCTGAGATAAAGTTCTGAAGTTAAAAAAAAAAAAAGATAGGGCAATTCTGCTGTGTCATACAGGGTCACTGTGAGTTGGAATTGACTCAGTGGCACATCACAACAGCAACGTGAAGATTCATCATAAGGTTGTGTTTAGAATGTGGAATTCATATGAAAATATAATTTTGAAATATAGTAAACACCCTTAAATCTTAAATTCTTCTAAACTATTCCAAATTCTCTTGTGTCATGGTATGTACATTTTACAGAGTACAGAGTTGACATCTGTCTTATTCTGCTTTTCTTCGTTTTTTATCTAAACATTCCCCTGCGTTAGCATAGTTTACATAGTTTACGTACTCACCGTTTAAATTAATATTCCATTATTTGGTTAGTCATTTCCGTATTGTCAAGCATTTGAATTGTTTTCACATTTTTATTACAAATAGTTTCGGTGTGAAACTTTAAATATCTTCTTTCTTCTGTTCTTACTGTCTTGGAATATATATTTCAGATAGAGTCAGTGGTTGAAAGATTTTACTACTTACATTTATGTATTTTTAGATGTGACATTACATTTTCTCATCAAAATGAGAAAAAAAATAGCCTGCAGAAAATATCAATATTTCTAGATATACTAAACAAAAACCTCTTAAGGTAGACCTAACCCATAGAGCTTTCTGCAGTGGCGGAAATGCCCTCGGTCTTTGCTGTTCCATATGGTAGTCAGTAGTCACATGTAGCTCTTGAGTGCTTGAAATGTGGCTGGTTGATTGGGGAACTGAATGTTTTATTTAATTATAAATTTAAATTGAAATAGCTATACGTGGCTATTGGCTACTGTTTTGGACAATGCAACCTTAAGGAAGAAAAAGGATGTCATTTAAATTAATGCTCTTATTGTTCTTCTAACATTTCTATGTATAAATGAGCGAGAAATAAGTGAAAAAGGAAGTGAAACTGTCTTTTAGAATAAATTATTGCTTTGCCAGAATTCAATAAATTTTGATAAGTATTATCTTAAGTGAAGTTTCTTTCTGAAAGCGAGGTTTCGGAAAGTAGCTTTCTGGGTATACTGTTGAGGTAGTCTTGTGTAACAGTTCACATATGCTTTTTTCCCCTCTTTTGTTTCTACCCTTTGAAAATATAAGTGAACATTTACTCACTTCCGTTTCTTGTTCTCTTTGATGTTTCAGTTGGAAAGACTTCAAATCATGCAATAGTTCTTGCCCAGCTCTTCACTCAGGGCAAAGGCTATGGATTACATGCCTTCATTGTACCTATTCGTGAAATCGGGACCCATAATCCTTTGCCAGGTAAGAATTGTTCAGCCAAGGTTGAGATGAAAAGTTAATCTGATCACTTTCCCCTGCAAAAAGTATAATACACAACTAAAGAGGAGTGAGGGAAGCCAGGCATTTCAGAACCTGAATACCTTGTGACTTTCATCTGTGGTAGGTATTACTGTTGGAGACATCGGGCCCAAATTTGGCTATGATGAGATGGATAATGGCTATCTGAAGATGGACAACTATCGTATTCCCAGAGAAAACATGCTGATGAAGTACGCCCAGGTATATTTAGACAGAAAATAGGAGTAGATAACATCAGACATGGGGATTTCAGTGGTTGATGGTAACCACAGGGTTTGAAGGTCTGTTCTTTTAGGAGGTAATCACATATTTTTACTTTCTATGCGTCTTTTATTATGACAATGAAATCAAAAGCAGTTGGCAGGTTTGCTAAAGCAAACATTGGCAATAGTATATGCTGGTTTGCTAAACCAGTGGTTCTCAAGCTTTAGCTGCATTAGAATTGCCTGGAGGGCTCACTAAAACATAGATTGCTGGGCCCCACTCCAGAGTTTCTGATTCATTAGGTCAGGATGGGGACAGATTTTGTGTTTCAAAGAAGTTCCCACATGGTGTCGATGCTATTGTTCTGAGGGCCACACTTGGAGAACCATTGGCCTAGCCTACCACTTGGCTTCAACAGAAGCATCAGTCCCATGTTACTCTTGCAGGTGAAGCCCGATGGCACGTACGTGAAGCCTGTGAGTAACAAGCTGACCTACGGGACCATGGTGTTTGTCAGGTCCTTCCTCGTGGGCGAGGCCGCACGGTCTCTGTCTAAGGCATGCACCATTGCTATTCGGTACAGCGCTGTGCGGCACCAGTCTGAGATCAAGCCAGAGTAAGTGGGTCTGAGGTGGGGGCCACTGAGAGCCTGGCTTTGCCCCCATCAGAGTATCACCATTCCCAAGTGTGGTTTAGAGAAGACGGATTGGCTATGCAGAACAAGCTAGGATGGCAACGTTCTGGGCCTCCTACTTAATGTCTAGATTTCCTTTTTCTTAAGTGGAAAGATGAAAGTAACCACCTTCTTCTTTTTAACCTAAGAAGAAGAACAGTAATAATATCATTTGAATTCTAGAAATGAAATGTTCAAAACACTCAAGGCAGTTTGAAAATTCTAATTAACTCCCTAACAGCTACAAATTGAGTATAGTGAAAATGGCATTAAATTTGATTCCCTTTTGTGTTTATGGAGCCCGAGTGGTTGAAAGCTATGGCTGCTAACCAAAAGGTCAGCAGTTTGAATCCACCAGCAGCTCGTTGGAAAACCCTATGGGGCAGTTATCTCTATCCTTTGGGGTCGCTATGAGTTGGAATCAACTCAATGGCAACGAGTTTGAGTGTTTTTGTGTTTGTGGCCGTGGTTTATTTCTACTACTGCCTTTCCCTGGGGTATGACTCTCTGATAACCTTTTTGCTCTGAAAGAGGAAAGAAAGAAATTGATAGGAGCAGACCTTTGATGCTCATCTTATACTTCACAATATTTAACTCTTCCTATTTGGTCTTCTCCAAAATTGTGGTCAAAATATATTTTATTCAACCATCTAGTGTGTTAGACTTGTTTAATATTTCCTTCTTCTTGTGAAGTTCACTGACTTTGGTTTTGTATGTTTCTATGAGATACATTTTCCTTAGTCATACTGGCAAGATTAGAAAGAAGGATTTCACAACTAGAAAATTCTGTCCACCTAAAGTAATACAACAGGGTGGTTACAGACATGGTCTCTGGAGCCAGATAGCGTAGATTTAAATCAAGGAACTACCACTTACTACCTGTGTGACCACAAGTAGGTTCTTAGCCTCTCAGTTTCCCCATCTGTAAAATGGGGATAATAGTAGCTACCTCATAGGATCTTTACGAGGATTAAATTATTTAATATGTGTAAAATGCTTAGAGTAGAGCCTGGTGCATAGTAAGTTCTGTGTAAGCGTTTGCCTATTTTTTTTGTTTTCTATATACTGTAGTGAACCAGAACCGCAGATTTTGGATTTTCAGACCCAGCAGTATAAACTCTTTCCGCTCCTGGCCAACGCCTATGCCTTCCAGTTTGTAGGCGCATACATGAAGGAGACCTATTATCGGATCAATGAAGACATTGACCGGGGGGACCTGAGTGAGCTCCCTGAGGTACGCGTTTGGCCTCTTTCACTTGCGGGCGCCCTTCTGTTTCTTATTAGCCTGTTGGATAATGTCCACAGAAAACCAAGTGACAAGATTTCCTGAAAAGAACCCACACGTCCTCCAGAGAGTCACAACCTTTTCTGATTGAAAGTGGGTTGGGTGTGGGGATATGTGGGTTTGGTTTGGTTTTGTTTTTTAAATTTCAGAAGTATGTCAGTCAAAGTGTGTTGGTCATTTGTCCATCAAAGGAACATAAGTGGTGACTTTATTGCTGAGTAGAATAGTTCAGAAGGGACTGTAGGGAAGTCACTAATTCAGGCCAGTTAGAAGGCCATGCTTCTTCAGTGTCTAGGTGTGGCAAGTGATTTCACAAGTGAGTAGTGCTGTCAGGTGAGGCTGAGTGTTTTCTCATCGGAACTCGGACTTTCACCGCCACAGGTGTTCTGATGGCCTCGGGCTTTTGCCTTTTCAGCTTCATGCCCTCACCGCCGGGCTTAAGGCTTTTACTTCCTGGACCACTAATGCTGGTATCGAAGCGTGCCGGATGGCTTGTGGAGGGCATGGCTATTCTCATTGCAGTGGCCTTCCCAACATTTATGTCACTTTCACCCCAACCTGCACCTTTGAGGGTGAAAACACGGTCATGATGCTCCAGACGGCGAGGTGAGAATCTAATTTCTGATTTATCTGTTACTAAGAATGCACAAGTCCTTTTCACAGCCTCCTACTCCCGGGCTTTCTCTTCATACTCCATTCGTTCCTGCCATAGCTTTGCCTTCCATTCTGACCCACTGTTTTACCTCGTGGTCAAGACTAAAAACCAAAAACCAAACCCGTTGCCATCAAGTCAATTCCAACCCATAGTGACCCTAGAAGATGAGTAGGAGCAGCTGGTAGGTTTGAACCGCCCACCTTTTGGTTAGCAGCCAAGCTCTTAACCAGTGCACCACGAGGGCTCCATGGTCAGACTAGAGAGTGTGAAATACCTGTCCCATAGTTTAAAGTCATTTCACTAGTTCGTTTTATTTCTGTTTCACGAGAAGCACGGTTACTAAAAGCATGTGTACTGGTGACATTTAGGTTCCTGATGAAAAGTTATGACCAGGTGCACTCAGGAAAGTTGGTGTATGGCATGGTGTCCTACTTGAATGACCTGCCCAGTCAGCGTGTCCAGCCACAACAGGTAGCCGTCTGGCCCACTGTGGTGGATATCAACAACCCTGACAGCCTAACCGAAGCATATAAACTCCGTGCTGCCAGGTGAGCTCACCCTTCGGAGCTAGAGGAGGCAGCTGTGTGGGCCTCTGGGAAAAGGAGGTACGAGTGTGGGTGGCCATTTCCTCAGACCTCAAGTTGTCTTTCACTTCTTAACAGATTAGTAGAAGTTGCTGCAAAAAACCTTCAAGCTGAAGTGATTCACAGAAAAAGCAAGGAGGTTGCGTGGAACCTAACTTCCGTTGACCTTGTACGAGCAAGTGAGGTCAGTGGTATTCTCTTCCCTTCTCCAGCGCAGAAACCCTCATCACTGTATTTTGAAGCTTTTTCAGAGGCCCTCACGCTGTTTTCTTTATCTAGGCACATTGCCACTATGTGGTCGTTAAGCTCTTTTCAGAAAAACTCCACAAAATTCAGGATAAATCCATCCAAACTGTCTTAAGGAATTTATGCCTGTTGTATTCTTTGTATGGAATCAGTCAGAAGGCCGGGGATTTTCTTCAGGTAAGTAATTTCTAAGTTTAAGCCCTAACTTTTCTTTTGTAGAAAGCTAATTGTGGTCTAATTTATAGTTGTGTTATTGTATATGTGTCTATTTTATATATATATATTGGTTTCTTACAGGGCAGCATCATGACAGAGCCTCAAATTACCCACGTAAACCAGCGGATAAAGGAGCTGCTGACTGTAATCCGCCCTGATGCTGTTGCTCTGGTTGATGCGTTTGATTTTCAGGATGTGACACTTGGCTCTGTGCTTGGCCGCTATGATGGGAATGTCTATGAAAACTTGTTTGAGTGGGCCAAGAAATCCCCGCTGAACAAAACAGAGGTGAAAAATCAACATCTTTTCTATGAATTAAAAAAGTCTTGAGGTGTGGACAGCAAAATGTTAGTGTGTCGCCAGGCATTGGAATTATAGTGGATTTGTGTGTGTGTGTGTGTGTGTGTGTGAGGTGGGGGTGTTCGTTTGCCTCTCTGTGTTTACCAAGTTTTCTGTACTGAACTACTAGAAATGCTATTTTGTCAGTAAATATAAATATGAGTAAAATTAATAAATATGAGTGAATAAAACTGAAACGATTTTAAAAAATCAAATGTTTTTTCAATTTTTGAAAGTCTTCATTTAAATATTAAGGCAGGTAAGACCACCAGAACATGATACATCCGTGAAAGTTTTCAAAGCACTTGTAGTCTGTTTATTTGAGCAACAAGTTCCGAAGGGGAATGAGTCATCCCTGCATTAAGCAGGTTTTCAATTCTCTTGTACATTTAATAACTAATTGAACATTTTCAAACACACACAAAAATAGAGTACTGTAATGTACCCTATGGACCCTTGTCGAGCTTCACCAACTATCAGCTCATGGCCAGTGTGTTCCATTTCTTTGAATCAGGATTCAAATAAGGTCCAGAAATTTCTTGATTAAAAAATTGCAAGCTCTAGTTACCAGTAATTTCTTCTCCTCCCTTTCTCTGCAGGTCCATGAATCTTACTACAAGCACCTGAAGCCACTGCAGTCCAAGCTCTGAATCTGGAGTGCCATGATGATGAATTTGATCTGCTCCAGGAGGCATCCTTCATACTTCATGCACAGATCTGGTGTGGGATCTTCACTGACTTCAAACAACTATAGAGAAAATGATAAATTGACCCCTTTCCTCTGTTAATGAATGAAGGAAAAAAAAAAACAGATTTACAAATTTCAGAGATTCGATGAAAAATGGATGTGTTTTAAGTGCAGTTACCACTGAAAGAGACCCACTAAGCATTCAGACAAAGCTTTAAGAAATGCAGTACGGCCTCCCTTTGTAATGCTGCTCATCTCGGGAGATAATTAGTAGAATGTAACTACTAAGTAGTTAATAATTTTCAGGTTGTAATTGCTAATCACTGGATCTATAACTGTTTTAAAGCAAAGGTATTTTTTAAATGGGATAAAACCTTCCAGGCTTTCCTGCTACTTACTGTTCTACCACTGTTGCCGTGGGGCCTGGCCTAAAAGCAGGGCTGAGGAAACCAGACTGGGGGAAGGAAACTAATCAGGAAGCTTAATGTTGTGAGTTTGTGCTTGACAAGTTTTCTGCCTGCTTGCCTTCCTTTGCCAATGTATTGCTCCCATCTGACTATTCAGAGTAGCATTCTCCCAACACAAGAACTTCTTCAGCACAGGTCTACTGCAGGACCACTGTCTCTTGTAATTAGGAATTGACCTTCCATTCACAGGATCTCTAAATTGTCACTTCAGTAGCACTACAACTTCCTTTGTCCCTTACTTCTTAGAAAGGAGTAGGTAGTAAAGTCATCTCTACATATGACTTTGGCAACTGATGGGACCTCAGTGGTATTGCTCACTCTCTTTCCCTCCTTCCCTACCTCTTCATTTTTCTCTCCCTCTCCCTTTCCCTCTCTTGAAAGAGATACTAAAGGGGGGCGGGGGTTGTGCCAGAGTCACAGTTCCTCCTTAATAGAATAAGTGTAGGAAGAGCTCTCAGCTAACTTTGGTGGCCTTAATTACTTGGATTTTTTGGGACAATCCAGATTTCAAATACTCTGTCATCTTGGCATAAGCTATTAAAATGCTTGAAGGCTACAGTATTTGGCATTAAAAAAATAAAAGCATTTCACCTCTTATACCCAGAAGTAGCATAGCAATCCTTTACAAATCATGTGTTCTGGTTTTTGGTTTAGAAGATAGAATCATTAAAACCTTGGCTGAAAGGTAGATAGAGGTTGTGTGGAGTCTGTTTCTTACTACATGTCTGCCTTCGTCTTCTGTGTGTTTCTAGGAGCTTTATCTGAATTGCTGAAGTGGCCTTTCGGTCGGAATCTAATTGACACAATCATTCTATAAAGGTTAAACATACACATCTTAATGAATTTTTATCCTTAAAATCAATGAAAAGCAACACAAGTCGTCTTTTTTTTTTTTTTTTTAAATCTGTTAAACTGGATCTGCGACATCTGCCTCTTAAAACCAGTTGTTCTACAGTCAGTCTTGACGATACAGTCTAATTCAGTAGCAGTGTAATTTCTTGGCTACCACATCATGCTCTTACACTGGGACCTGACATAAAATCTATTCCAGTGCAACTGGTAATGTGAAACTTTCGGTTACGGCAGAAGTACTGTGTGTGAACACAAGCCTTGATCTTTCCATCAGGAGAATGAATTGATAATTACATTAAGATTAAAGTAGAAAACACTGTCTTAATCTCATTTGGGCATCACTTGACAGTAATTCAGATTCTGGGAAACAACAAAGTAAGTTTCAGTGGTTTACTATTGACCTGTTAAATGTGGAAGTATTTCATAATTAGTGGTTAAACACCTTGTTCACAGGTGAATTATCTGTGCGCAGGATCTGAAGGTGTTTGAAGTGACACTGCCTTTTCCATCAGCATACATCCAAGATCTTACTTAGCATGACTGAAGAAATTGTAGGCACGACAGAGCCACCTGCAATCCAACACCTTGGGTTTTATTTAAAAACTAATCTGACATTTAACACTTTTCACTAAGATTGGTATGTTTTGTCTTGAACTTTACTCAGTGTAATCAAAAAATAAAGATACAGTAAAATCTGATATGTACTATTAAGAGAGAAAAAAGTGTGCCACATAATTAAACATAAGTTTACATCGTGAAGAATTTTAAAATGCAGACGGACTAGATTTCAGTAACACTAAGAAGAGAAACAGAAAAAGTGAGGCCTGCCTGAACAGATAGCTTTCAAGAAGCCATAATCACTGTAGTTGTTGGCTGTAAATGGGAGCTGCTACGGTGAGTTTAGAGGTCCTTGACTTCTGGGAATTCAAGCAGCAAATCCAGTTTTTCTCCTTGACCAGCCAGCCTTTGCAATGGATAAGTCTGGTTTGGTTGAACTCTTGTGAACCATCTCACAAAAAGCGCAAACATAAATTTCAACCTAGTTTCCTCCAAAATGATAAATGCTGGGTAGAATTAATGAGATTTTTCTATATTAGCTTTTATTAGATAATATTGACATAAGCCTTTTTTAAAGAATACTCAGCAGTGTACAAAATTGGAAATTTGATTTTGTTTCTTTGTAATGGCTGAAGGTTGATCTTCCTCCTGCGTTTGGAGTGCTATCTTACGCTCTACTAGGTACATACTGAGGTGTATTTCAGTGTTGGGACCTGAGTGACCTCAAAGCACCGTTGTTCCAAAAGCCTTTGGGGACCGTAATGTTTTTTTCAGAACATAACACTGATAAGTATCAGCTTGTCTTCAGAATATGACCTTAACTTGCAACATTTTTATGTTCACATTCTTTCTAAGAACTTACTGATCGTAACTTCAGATTTCATATGCCTAGAGGCACTTTATAGTTCCTAAAGTTAACATGTTAGATCTTAATTCTTAGGTTTTCCTCAGTATGGGGCTTTGGCTGGAGAAATAACAACCTAAACTCATTTTGGGGATCCATAATTCTTCAGGCAACTGCTGCTTTCCTCAAAGTATCCCTTCCCCCTTTTCTGAGGTCTTTCCTTCCTTCTTAGGAAAGAAGTGAATTAGGTGCAGATAGTCTGTAACACCTGTTTTAATGTATGTGGAGGGTATACGTGGGCATACAGGTTGTCTTCCAGCAGTAGCTGCTACTGCAGCTGGAGAGGAGCAGTGCCAGGAAACTGTATTCTGAGACTGACATTCTTCGTAGATTCTCCTGACTCAACGCAGGGAGACCATCCCAGCTAGTTAAATATTCACTACTCCGTTCTCAGAGGGTTAGACCAAGCCACACTGTAAATGACTATTTGAAATTACTTTTCATTTTAAAATATTGATGGTGGGGTTTTGCTTTTAGCTGTCCAAAATTATTACAATTTTCTGTACCTGTTCCTGTGGCCCCCGATAGTGAACAGAACTTTCTGAGGGACCATCAGAATTACCAGAATGTGAGCTGTCGTGTATCAACAAGTTCCTAGAATTCCACGGGTTTTTTTGGTTTTGTTTTTGCCTTAAAAGGGGGCCACTGATTGTCTTGGGAAGATCAAGTTAAATTGAGAGTGATATTAAGAATTCTGAACCAAAATAAAAAGCTGTTTGCTACTGTTAACTTTTCATAAGTTATTTTTGGGTAGCAAATGTGATCTTCCATATAATATTCAGACTGCTGACTACTACTTTGTAAACACTTTTACTTCCAGCTACTATGGTTTCCATGAAATGACTTCCATCTTCTGGCGCGTATAATTACTTTGCCACTTTTCTTCCTTTCACTGCTGTGATTTGAGCATGGGTCCTACTTAACAAGCTGTATTTCGCATGTATTGTTACCCAACCTTGGCTGGACACGTCCCGCGGGGTGGGAGTTCCCAGGAGGTGCCAGGGCCAGAGCGTATGAATCATGGGCAGACAGCGATGACCCTCCAGCACTCCTTGGCCAGCGGGTAAGCCAACCGCTAACCCCTTCCCTTTGTGAAACTCAATAACCCTTAATAAAATCTGTATTTAGCACACACAAGTGTACGTGTCTTTCTGTTGAGTGATAAGTTTCCTTCTGGCTTCGCAGCTTTGATTTTGTTAATTGAAAGAGAAGATCAGAGCCGCATCCCTCAAGCTTTGGGGTGTGGGATAAATACGGTTTCTTTCACACGTGAACCTTTCGATGTTAACCTATTTCTCACCGCCGAGCCCCCCTAACCCACCCGAGTCAGCTCTCGAAAGAGGGCCGGAAGAACTTTTAGTGTTCCGTCTTCGAGCCCAGTTCCCGGCAGTCGTCCAAGGAGGGCCAGAGGCAGACGACGACCAGCCCGCCAGCCCGGCAACCCTCTTCCCAAGGTGGCATCGAGGCAGCTCCTAGCAACGCGCAGAGCCGCGAACAGAGGCTGGGCCCCGGCTAACGGCCGCGGCGGAGCACCCTGGGAAATGTAGTTCATCTCGGCGTCCCCGTCCCTTGGCTCCGGCAGGTGAGCGGACCGCGGACTACAACTCCCAGGATGCCTCGCGCGTAACCTCTCTGAGAGAGATTGGTGTCCACGCGCTCCCAGTCGGGAGGCCTGACCGAGCCAGGCTCGAGTGGAGGCGGACCCGCGGCTATGGGTTGGGCCGCGCCTCCAAGAAAAATAGCGCATAATGGGGGGCTTCAGCCGCTGGGGGGATAGACGCTGCGCTCGGGGTCGAGATAGTCTGGGGGCGCGCGCAGGGGTGATGCATGGAGCGGCGCGGAGTCCCGGGACCGAGGGAGTCACCCGACAGGGCCCTTGCCAAGGGGCAGGGTCGGGATTTTAAAATGCCTGGCATCGGGTTGGCTCAGTAGATGAGATGACGCGGTGGTACTCAGTGGCCCTTTGGCCTCTGCAAAACCCAAAAAACCCACTGCTGTCGAGTGGATTCCGACTCATAGCGACCCTGTAGGACAGAGGAGAACTAATCCATAGAGTTTCCAAGGCTGTAACCTTTACGGAAGCTAACTGCCACATCTTTTTCTCCTGTGGAGCGTGGATGGGCTGGAGGGTTCGAACCGCCGACCTTTTCGGTTAGCACCCAAGCGCTTTAACCACTGCACCACGAACACTCCTTTGGCCTTTGCAAACCACTCAGGAAATCCCCGTGGTTTGGGAAACTGAGGCAGGATCCCTTTGGATAGGAGATGGCAGAAGTTTCTGGATGTTATGAGACAAACCTTGCTTGGATTGTAGGTCGTGAAAGTTTCCATTACAGAGGAAAACACGACACTCGGGGTGGCCCTTGTCCGGCCCCCTAGATAAACTTTGAGTTGTGATAACAGGGAGACGAACACGTGAGAAATAGTGATGACCCTCTCTGACTCCTTCCTTCCAGGCATGCCGGAGGTCGGTTTGGGTCAAGCGGAAGTGAAGAGATAGAATTCTGAGGAAAACCATTCTGTTAATGAGGTGAGTCAGATTTGCAGCTAGTGTGAATGGAAAAAAATTCCACTGTCAGTGAAAATAGTGTGAAGGTGTGGCCTGAGCTCACCTTCGCTCCTCTGAGTGCTGGATGGCTATCTAGAAAGTAGTCATGGGTGTTGCCTGGGAAGCCATATTGGCCATAGCCAGGCACCCACCTCCTTTCTGAAATGATACCTACCTGCCATTTCCCCATTTCCCTCATCCTCTTTGAGAATAAGGGACAAGGACCGCTGCACTTCAAGGGAGTGATCTGGATGCAGGCTCAAAAAACCCATTACGTTACCCAGAGCACTTTGTTTCTCATCTGAATTGCTCCCCCCCATAGGAAATGTTTAATTTATGGAAACAGGTTTTGACGTCTTGAATGGGTAGAGTGAGAAGAACCTTGATAGGCCTTGGACTCAGGCACTATTAAAGCCACATCATTTTTAAGCAGCCGCTTTAATTTTCTTCATTAGGTGAGAAGGAGCCTGATGTAGATGGAATTCAAGTGAGCAGGACAGTGCTGTGAAGCAGCCCCAGAACCTTGAGATGGTAGGCAAAATGCAGAGTAAGCCGAATGGAAATGTGGCCTCTTGTACCCCAAGATCTTGACTATATGCAGTAATTTGGGGGGTGGGTGACAAGGACCAGGGTGTGGTCCCTGGAGTAGAGTAATGGAAAGTAACATGAATATCAAAGTTCTCATTAAACAATCAGCAAGGGTTTCTTCTGAGCCTCCGAATGTCTAGCTGAAAGCGTTTTTAAACGTCTGTTATTGGGATTGAGGAGTCAGGCGCATGAAACGGAAGAAAACATGAACAGTCATGTATGTTACATCCTGGCTGGGACGGGACACGTGTGGCGTCTGCAAGTCAGGGAAAAGGAGAGACTTCTGCCCACCTGATGACACCCACTGCTGGTTAGTGGGAGCTGTTGTCATGTTATGAATGAGTCCACTTTCAGAAACTCTAGGAAAGCATAACAGACTTCTGTCTTAAATGCCACTGGGACTCCTTTTCCTCTGGTGACTTGGCAAAAGGCAGAAGAGTTCATTCTGCATTCCCAGCCTTGGGTTTCCTCTGTTTCAACACACTATTCTCTGTTTGATTTTGTTAATGTGATTTGTTTTTCCCATTTTAGGCACCAAAAGCCAAGAAGGGGTTAAAAGGTAAGTAGAGAAAAACAGGACATCACCCTTAAGCCATGTGCTTGCGTTTGTGGGTGCGTGCGTGCGTTCGTGGGTGCGTGCGTGCCTGCCTGCCTGCCTGCCTGCCTGCCTGCCTGCCTGCCTGCCTGCCTGCCTGCCTGCCTGCCTGTGTATACTCCACCCCCTCCCCACCGCGGCTCCAAAAATAATTTAGACATGTCTGTGTCTAAATGTAAGGAGCACTAGTGATGCACTGATTAAACTGCTTGGCTGCTGACAGTTTGGCGGTTCGAACTCATAAGCTTTTGGCGATTCGAACCCACCAGCTGCTTCAAGGGAGGAAGATGTAGCATTCTGCTTCCATAAAGATTTACACCCTTGGAAACCCTATGGGGCAGTTCTGTCCTGTAGCGTCGCTACGAGTCAGAATTGACTCGACAGCAGTGGGTTTGGTTTTGGTTTGGTGTCTAAATGTTCTTGGTGAGAGTGCTGCTGTTTTTCCCATAATTCCATAGGCAGCCTTGGTCTTCCTAGGGGACTCATTGGCCCTCAGAGTAATTCAGAAATTATTACGGGATGGAACTTTGGAGAAAATCCTTCTTGTTGGCTTCTGTATCCAGAAGTAGATGGTTGAACCATAAACCAGTAGACAGCAGCGCTGAGGTGGTTATGATCAATAATATCTGCATTTTCTTTTTAGTCTCTGTAACATGAAGCTTTATTCTAATTACTTTTCATGAAATGACATATTTTGCATAAGTAATTTTCTTGATAAGAAAGAATATATAGAAATCTCCCTGCAATTAGTTCCCAATGTTTATATTGTTAAACTAGACTGTGGAATTTCTCAAGATAAATATTATGGATGTGTTGGATGCGCTGTAGCTGAAACCATGTTTGTCTGTTAAACACTGGTTTAAAGCTCTCAATGAAAATGCCTGTTGCTGACAGCACAGAAAAGCAGGGGGAAGCCTCCAGCACAGTCTAGCTGTTCCACTAATGCCGTTTAAACACGTAGTCACCTTCTGTTTGCACATCTCTGTCTCCTGAGAGTCTGTTCAGGCAGTGCTGTAGAGTTCCTCCTCCATTTCCATGGTGAAAAGGATGAGGACTGCACCTCCTCGTTCAACTGTGCTTCAGTATGTGAGTGATTGTGGATGTAAAGTATATAAATATCTAAACCTGCGGTGTTAACAACACTAATACGACCTTTTGAATTAGTTACATATTTGTTGTTGTTAGGTGCCATTGATTCTATTCCGACTCATAGCGATCCCATATGACAGAGCAGAACTGCCCCCATAAGGTTTTCTTGGCTGTAATCTTTATGGAAGCAGATTACCAGGTCTTTCTCCTGTGGAGCCACTGGGTGGGTTTGAACCGCCAACCTTTCATTTAGCTGCCAAGCACTTAACTGTTAACACCACCAGGGCTCATTAGTTATGTGTATAGACAGTTAAATTCTTTATCCAAAAAAAAAAAGAAGCAGGTGTTTGAAGTTAAGGGTGGTAAAGGCCCTTAGCTAGATGCAAGTACTAACTCAGTATTCACTCTCTACCCCCATCAGAGTAGCCAGGGAGGTGAGCATCCAGACCATCCCTGGGGGGTGTCGGATGGAAGGGTACATGAAGGCTGTTGGTATGGAAGAAGCTTGTATGTGCCTAGAGGTCTTGGACGCTTTTCCCAAAGGACCACACCAGGCTTTGTTCAGAGTCTGGAGGACGGCCCATTGGCCAGCGTGTCATGGGGAGGCACATAGCATGTGGATTATACTGAGAATCTTCACCATCATTCTTCGAAAAAGTGATTTTTAATTTCTACCCTGGGGTCTTTCACCTTTGCATCATGGCTTGTTGCCGGTGAGTTAGAACATATCATGAGCAGCAAAGGGAAAACTAAGTGTGAGGCCTAGTGTCTGAGAGCTCTGAGGCCCTGGGGTGAGCTCTCAAGAGCTGAGGCTTCTAAGAGCCATTCTTTTCTCCTGAAATCATGACAGCTCCTTCTCTGTTGCAGGCTCCATTGATGATGTCCTTGGTGACCTCTTAGGGGATGATAGTAAGTGTCCCCAGTTTAGGCTTGTTCTTTTTTTATTTGATACATAATTCACCTACCAAGGAGCCTTGGTGGCGCAGTGGTTAAGAGGTCTGCTGCTAACCAAAAGGTCGTTAATTTGAATCCACCAGCTGCTCCTTGGAAACCCTATAGGGCAGTTCTACTCTGTCCTGTAGGGTCGCTGTGAGTCGGAATCGACTCCACAGCAACGGGTTGGGTTTGGTGTTGGTTTTCACCTACCATGAGATTAGCCATTTTTAAGTATACAGTCTGGTGGTTTTTAGTGTGGTCACTGTGTTGTGTAGCCATCACCACTGTCTAATTCCAGAACATTCTCATCACCCCAAAAAGAAACCCTGTACACGTTAGCAGTCAGACAAATAATTGGATTATTTTTATTTTTATTGTTGAGTTGTAAGAGTTCCCTGTACATTGTGGACACTCGTCCCTTATCCTGTATGTCTGTGTCTGCTGTACGGAGGAGCAGGACTTCAGGGTCACCACGGACAGTGAGGCTTAGGTCCCCCTTACTTGGCCTGGGAGAACCCACAAAGCGCAAGTCCATGTTTACCAACTTACAGTTTTAGGGAGTGGAAGTGACATTGTTCTTCCTGCATTTCCATGGGATGGGGTTGGGTAGGGTGGGGTTGGACTCTTCATTTGGCACCAGTTGGCATTTAGGATTGACTTCCTGCTTGGAAATGTACCACTCCCCCTCCATTCAGGCTTTTCAGGGGATAACTTAGGACCTGTGTATGGGGCCAGTTTCTTCCTCCAAACAGATCCTTCTGTCAGTAGGAGGGCCTGGGAGGCAGCTTGTTGGGGGAACTGGGATCCTTTTCACACTGACTCTGGGTCTCTTTCGCCGAATAACACCTTTTCTGTTCTGCTTTTTTTCCAGTGACCCTACCTGAGACTCCTGTAAAACTAGTTCCACGTGCCAGAGACACAGCAGGCAAATCTCAGGTCCTCCCTTCTTCAAGGGCTAGAACAAAGTAAGCACCGGAGTGGGAGTGGCTCACCGCTGATTCGTTTCAGTCCAAATGTGCTTGGCCCCTGCACAGTGGGTACCCGCTTTCCATGTCAGCAATCTTCACCCCCTTCACTGAAGGAGACTGGGATGGTGAAAGACAGCTGAACTGCAAGTCCAAAGTCCTGGCTTGTAGTCCTACCTCTGTGACTTACTGCGTGACCTCGGCCAACTTTCTGAACTTCTCTGAGCCTCAGTTTCCTAATCCTCAGAATAAAAGGATTGGCCTAGATCGGTGATTTTCAGATTGGGTTTGCTCTTCTAAGGTTCTCATGATTGGGGAGAGATAAGGGGAGAGCTTTGAGACTTTAGGTGACCTGTGGAATTCCTTTTAGAAACTCTGTTCTTCCAGAGAAGAGTCTATCCAAGGTCACTGGGCTCTCTAAGCCACTCTCCCTTCCTTACAATTATCTGATGCCACCGGGGATGCAGGTGGGGCTGATTCTGCCACTTTGCAGGTCCCTTCTGGAAGGTGATTTCTTCAGCACCATGGCGGGCCTGGCAGGAGCTGATGCTGAGGTGAGCCTGGCCTGTTCCCAATCCTTGAGACTCTACTCACCCTGAGAAAGAGTAAGATGGACGTTGTGGCCAACCGGCTAGTCACAGGAGGGTTTAGAAGTCCGTTACAAAGCTGGCTGTTTCTTAAAGCAAAGCAATACCCAGGGGCTGCCGAGTGGACCCAAAGCAAATTCCTTTTCCCTCCCGCAAGTGAGATTAGCTAGAAAGTAGAGCTCCCGGGAACGTTGGCGTCTTGGATCTTTCTCGTAATAAACTCTATACATGTCCATCACATGGGTGGCAGGCAGCACGATCTGAGTGCCTGTGGTGGAATTGCTCTCTCCCCTGGGAGGAACAAAAAGAGACCACGATCTATGGATCTCCAAAACTGGGAAGCTCCGGCTGCAGGCAGCAGCCAAGTCCTACGAGAGGGGGCCGGAGGGACCTTCCCGTGTATGCCCTGTTGGCCGAGCTCTGCTCCGCTCTCACCAAAGCAAAGTAACAGTGGACTTGACCCCGAGTTCTGCTGGGCCCTGACTAGCATGCTTTTGCCTTCCTGCACACGTAGGTTTCCGACGTCTCGGACGCAGACCCGCAGGCTTTGTTGCAGGCCATGAAGGTAAAGATGCACAGCTCGCATAGTTCTCGGAGGTAGGGGTGGTGCCTCGACATTCAGTGTCAAGGCTTCATTCTCCCTGTAACTTCTCCCTTTCACACTTGTGTTTCTGCGCTCCTGGTGCAAGAATGGAGCTCATCCCTGAGCTGTTGCCTGTGCTGCCCCTCTGGGTATAAATCCTGTGCAGGGGAGGGAGGCTGTCCATCTTTCCCAAGTGGACAGAGACTCCCCACCCTGAGACACAGTCCATGCCACAGGCCTCTGGTGAGATGGGGCCTCCTCCACCTCCACCACCTAGGGGGCAAGAAGGGAAGACTTCTCCTCTACGGTTCGTTCTTAACCTTTCTCCGTAGTTCTTTCTACATCTCCTGCCTGTTCCCTTAGCACAACCGTCCTCTCATCAGATCAAGCACAGAGCTAACCTTGGTGATGGGATTTTAAGGCATGAATTCCGAATGGCTCATAGACCATGACCTCACAGCACTCAGATTCATAGCCCACGATTTCATAGACCTAAAACATTGTCACTGCCTTCTCTCACACCCCATCCAGTCAGCAACACCCTCCTGCATCCCCGTTGGGCTCACCATCCCTTTTGGTTAACCTTTGGTCCCCCTGCGGGCCCCTAAGGAATTGGAGTTGGTCCCCTTCTTGGCTCCAGATTCAGCTTCTTTGACCTCAGCTTGAAATCTCCCTTCCCAAGGCCAGCCGGCTGGGACCCCTTCCAATCCTCTGACCAGGCCATTTTCAGTGCTGACTTGAGTCTCTTATCCCCTGTCCTGCTCAGCTTTTGCTTTGATTTTCTCTCCTAACTCAGTGTCACTGCTGACTGCTCGGAGTGGAAGAGTGGTCAGCCACCACCCTCCAACCAAGCACCTTTGGGACTCCTCCCTCCTCCTGCTTTTCTAGGACATGGACGACATGGATGCCGACCTCTTGGGTCTGAAGAAGTCTAAACCAGCCTCTAGCAAAACAGCCGCAAAGGATTCTGGGAAAGAAGGGCCACCTAGCATTTCCAAGCCTGCTGGCAAGTCAACAAGTAACGAGAAAGGTGAGCGGAGAGCTCCAAAAGTGAGGAAGATGGGATATGGTTCTTCTCTGCCTAGGAGGGGGAGGCTGAACGAGCTAATTGTGTGTGTGTGCGTGTGTGCTCACGTACATAGTTGGGGCAGGGAACAGGTGAGCTTCCTCCCTTCCTAGGGCTCTTCCTGTCCCTTGAAGCCCAATGTCGGCAGCTCCTAGAGAAGCCATTTGATTTTAACTGGTAAATTTTACAGTAGCCTTTGCATCTCCCAAACCCATGACTCTGTTTGGAGTGACTTGAGACTGGGGAGGGTGTGTGACCAGGTTCAGGAAGTAGCTTCCAGACCACATTGCCCTGCCAGAAGCCTGTGTGAGAACTGGGGAGCGTAGACCCCTCCCAGAGCTGTGTCCACGGCCACGGACCCAAAGCTTCCCGGGAGAAAGTGCATCTCATCCCAGGGGACCAGTCCCGAGGCAGGAGAACCTTGGCCAGCGGAGACCCAGACCCGTGACCAGGCCTTCTCTTTGCTTCCCTGCAGGAGACACCGCTCCCACCAAGAAGCCACCTCCCTCCCCCGGCAGCTTTAGGCATCAGTACAGGAAGTTTTCCTTTGAAGGTAGTGGAGGCCCCACAGTCATTTTTCTGAGGCACTTGGTAATGCTTGCTTGCTTGCTTGCCTGAGGCAAATCCCATGGGTCTCAGACTGGGAGGAGCAAGCAGACAGCTGGTGCCACTGATTTACTTCCTCCTGAGTTCAGGGAGGGAATAGTTTTACTGTATTGCCTGGAATATTTTGGGAACTTATTTGCAAGGGCTTTGAAGCCAGAAGTCAAGAGCCGGATTTTATAAATTATAAGGAAAGTTCTGTTTCCTTTCGTGAACGCGCTCATGTTTTCCTTGCCTCCTGAGGCCCCGGGAGCACCGCAGGCAGAGTCAGGGCCACGGGTGAGCCAGGGGTGGCCATGCTGGGATGCAAGCCAGCAGCCCCAGCTCTCCCGCCCCTCCGCCCCTTGCTGGGCCTTATCTATGTCAAAGCGCCCCAGGCCCTGGCCCCCCAGATGCTGAGGGGCTTAATCGTTAATATACTAGAAGCAGCTAAAAATCTCGCCTGGAGGGATGACCCGACTCAGGGCTCAGTTTTCCTGAACAAAGTGCTGCCGTCTGACTGTGCTTTCCCTCCTGGCCGTGAGATGTGGAAGACCCACTGGCAGGACTTCTCTCAGATGACGAGGAAGGAATTGCCAAGCAGCCGCCTGTGACAGAGAGTAAAACGGCTTCTGACAGGAGCCCCAGCACCGTCAGAGACCCGGGTAGGGGCAGGAATGGGGTGGTGCCAGGGCAGGTTCAGTTGCACAGGTGGGATGCCTGCCACCTCACCCAAAAGGTCAAAGTTGTAGAGTGCCCCCACCCCCAAAACCCATTCACATATCACAGTTGGGACAAGGAGGCTGTGGGCTTTGTGCCCTGTGTTCTTTCTTATAGGTCCCTCTATTCCTCTCACTCCTGGTGACACCCCCATCCGAAAGAAAGAAGAACTGATGTTTGACGATGGGGACAACATCATGGCCACCCTGGGGTTTGGAGACAGCCCCGAAGCAGAGAGGGGGCAGACGGGAGACCAGTAAGGAGCCTTAGGAGCGAGAGCCCCGGCCAGGCTGCTGCTTCAGGCCCGGAAAAGCAGAGGGGTGCAGTGTGGGCCATCGGGGGTCCTCACAGTCACACGTGCCTGTCCTGTGCCCATCCTGCAGGGAAGGGCCCCGCCCCGCTAGCTCCAAGCTAGACGAACTGCTGGGTCGAGGCACTGCCGCCAAACTCCTGGCGCGCCCAGGCACCGGGGAGCACAGAGAGATCAATCCAGACAAGAATTACCAGAGGCCACAGGGTGAGGTGGCTCAGGGCGGGCCTCTAGACTGGTGCTTTCCCACAACCCATAATAAAAAATAAGTTTTATGTTATGACACTCACATTATTATGCACACTGAAGCTTTCTAAAATAATACTTACGATTACCACATCCAAAGTCCTGGTGGCACAGTGGCTAAGAGCTTGGCTGCTAAACAAAAGGTCAGCAGTTCAAATCCACCAGCATTCCTTGGAAATTCTGTGGGGCAGTTCTACTGTGTCCTGTAGGGTCAATGTGAGTGAAAATTGACTTGACGGCGATGGGTTTGGTTTCGGTGATTTGGTATTACTACATCCAATACACTGTTATTTTTTATTTATGCGCTGTTTGGTTTATAAATACACTGGTGTGACTCACTGAATTGGTTTCTTGACCAACTCATAGGCGACCCCTCCCAGTATGAAAAACACTGCTCTGGACCAGTGTTTCTCAAAGCAGCATGGGCCATCTGTTCAGAGTCAGTACTTGGTACTCCTGCAGCTTCGTGGGCCTCACCCTGTCAAATCTCCCCCTGTAGAATCTTTGGGGGCAGGGCCCTGGCCAGAGCATTTTTTTTTTTTTTCCCGTTTAATGATTTTTTTTATTTTTTTATTACTGTGCTTTAAGTGAAACTTTACAATTCAAGGTAGTCTCTCATACGAAAATTTATACACACATTGTTATGTGACCCTAGTTGCTCTCCCTATACTGTGACAGCACACTCCTCCTTTCCCCCCTGGGTTTCCCATGTCCATTCATCCAGCTCCTGACCCTCTCTGCCTTCTCATCTCCCGGCCAGAGCATTCTTAACGGCTCTGAGGTGATTCTTGAGCCTGCTGGAATTTGAGCAGCTGAGTTTCACACGGTGCCGGAGCCCCCTGATACCGAGCCCCGAGCCCCTGCCTCCAGAGCAGCTTCGTGTTCACTGTCCGACACAGCAAGCTGCCCATTCAGCTTTTTTTTTTAATAAAGATGCAGCTGCAAAGGCTTTTGGTCACAGATTTCTTGATTTACAGACAAAGAAGATACCTGGGGCATCGAAGACTTCACCTTTGGGGCCTATCAGCCCACTGTGGGCTCCTCTGAGGGCCGACAGTCCCGCCGGCAGTCTGTCAGGTAAGCTGGGCCTGCCAGGGGGCATGACCTCAGGGACATGTTGCCCACTGGAAAACAGGCTTCAGCACCTCCTGTCTTAAAGTAGGTTCTTAGCAGAAAGCGGCACAGACCCCAAGGGAGACCTGGGCTCCAGACAGAGCACTCCAGCCGCGTCCAGCCCCGTCCACCCCAGAAAAGGAGGTGCCGACTGGTTGGGCCTCAAGGACGACGACTTTGACCTGCTCCCACCCTCTCCCACGGGAGAGGCCCGGAGGGGTGGCTCAGTGCTCTCCACATCCTCAGTGCCCCCTCCTGCCAGCCAGCACTTGGCCCCAGCTGGGCTGCCTGTCTCAGGGGCAAAGCCCCCCACTGAGGGTACAGGTTCCCCTTCCAAAGCCAGCCGAGCCTCCAAGCTGGGAGCGTCCGAGGAGAGAGAAGAGGAGGATTGGCTGAGCCATGCCTTGTCTTGGAAGAAGTCCCAGGGCCTGGTCACAGAGGAGCGGGCCAGGGCCTCCAAGGGCCTGAACTCAGCGGGGACTGTGGGCCACCCCTTGCCTAGCAGGTATGAACTTGGGCTGCTGTAGCTAGTGGAGGGAGGCCTGGGCACAGGTACCAAGGGCCACCCTTGCCCATCTCGCCCATCAGCCTCAGTTGGAGCCCGGGCAGTGCGCCTGCGCACACCCCTCATCGTAGCTTTACCTACTCTTCTCTCTGGGCACTAGCTCTTCCATCTGCAGGGAGCTCTGTCTCCCTGCCTTCGCCCAGGTGCAGACCCGAGGGGTTGGGGTGGCTGTTGCACACATGCCCTGACTGCCGCTGGGACAAGGGGCCGACTTGATCAGGCAAGAGAAGACAGGAGTGCTGCCCACGCAGAAAACCCAGTGTCCAAATTGTTGGTACTTCTGCCAACTAGGCAGAAGGGAATCAGTGCTAGAGAGCCCCAGAGGCCAGGAGATGCTCCCATGGGATGGCACAGAACAGCGGTGCTGGGGGCAGGACAGTGAGCCACCTCAGAGGGTGGGCAGGCTGCACACATCCAGAGGTGGTGACAAGACTGCGGTGGCCAGAGCAAAGGGGAGGTGAACTGGGGCAGTTCCGAGAGGGAACATCGCAAGCCCTGGGGCTGGCGTAACTGTGAGGGGACAGTTTGACCTGAAATCCAGGGGGGCTGAGGCCAGAACAGAAAGGACCCTGAGAGCCAAGAGGGATGGTAGGAATCACAGACAGACAGCTGGGGAAGAGAACCACCACAGGGTGGCTGGACTAGGGTAGGTCGAGCAGTGCCTTAGTCCAAAGCTGAGTGAAGCTAAATGGAGCCAAAATGAGGCTTCGAGCTTGAACTTAACAGGTGTCTAATGTGTCCCTGTGACTCCCTGGATTGTCTTCAGATGGTCAGTGTCCGTTCCCTGCACTATGTGGATGTCGGGGCTGCAGGGAGAGGGAGGCAGCCCTCACATCCCAGGAGCTCAGCCCCGGGAGAAGAATCCCCACGACTAGGTAGTGGCAGCAGAGGGGAGCTGGGGGAAGCGGGACGAGGAGCAGCCACAGGGCTGTGTGCGTGGAGCTTGTCCTGGGCCATCCCATCTAGCCTAGCCTGGCACTTTTGTTCCCTTCACCATTAGCATTGACTTCTTTCAGCCAACCTGCTAGTACCCAAGGGCCTGAGCGAGCAGCTCCTGGAGGGACCTCAGGAGCAGCGGTGCAGGAAATGCCACCTGCCAGGCCTGACAAGTCAGGGTGTGTCTGCAGTGGGGGCAGAGGATGAGTGAGAGGCGCGTGGGGGCTGCTGGGATTTAGAGATGGATGGTGGGAGCCCAACGTGGGCTGATACACATACGAGTTCCTGGGTAGCACAAACGGTTAGGCATTTGACTACTAGCCGAAAGGTTGGTGGTTTGAACCCACCCAGAGGCGCCTTGGAAGACAGGCCTGGAGATCTGCTTCCAAAAGGTCCCAGCCTTGAAAACCCTGTGGAACAGTTCTACTCTGCACACGTGGGGTTGCCGTGAGTTGGAATCTGCTCGACGGCAACTCAACATCATCAGCCCCACTGACCAAGAGTGTTCTGAGTGGGGTGCCCCCCGCTTTACCCAGCCACCCGGCCTGAGACCCTCCCTCTGGGTGCACCACTAGCCACCAGGCCTGGTCAGGTCAGTTATTTGAACCTGACATTTTCCTGTACAGCCGTGCCCACCCCTCCCTTCTCTCCCTGTGTTCTGCACAGAATGCTTTCAACCTATGCCCACCCACCCCTGTGTCCGCAGGCCGCCTGTGACTTGGAAGCAGGTCACCACAGCATCCCCTGCAGGTGATCCAAAGAGGGGACCAGCCCCTGGAGAGCTGTCCAGCACTGGTATGCTTTCTGCTCTGTTTAGGGTTCAGCTGTGGGTCAGGAGGAGGGACTTAGGGCTTCTTAGGGGGCCACTGGAAGTTCAGTGAGGCTACACGCCCCCAGACACACACAGGTGCAGGGCTCTGGGCCTTTCAGGGCCCCTACTCATTTCTCTGCTGTTGATTTTCCAGAACCTGCACTTTGTTTCCCAAGCTCCCAGGAGCCCCCAGGGTTTTCGGTGCCTGGCCAGGTAAGGAGGGTGGACAGATAGGGAGGTCATGGGCCTGTGGGGCAGTTCTCCCTGCTCAGAGGCAGTGCCAGCAATTTGACCTGTCAGCCAGCCAGGAGGATGTGTCCTGTCAGATCCCTCACCTGGCACTCCCACCACCACTTTTAGCCTGGCCGCTCCCAGGTGGAGCTGAGTGCTCATTTGCCGGCCCAGTAGGGCCCGAGAGGAGCCTCAGGTGGGGGCACTGGGAGTGTTCTCATCAGAACACAGGGCTGCCATCATCCTGTCATTTCATTTAGAAAGCCTCTGTTCCTGCCGACCTCCCAGCCCACCTCCACCTGTTTCCCAGGTGTGACAGTCACCTGTGACACCTGGGCCAGGGAGGAGCGGCCCCACGGGATCACATCCCCGGGACCCAGGAGCACTTTGGGAGCTGGTGGGTGGTGGGCAACTCAGGAACCAGGTTGGCTGCCCACATGGGGCTCTGGGCCAGACAGAAAGGGCCAGGACCAAGCTTCTGTTGGAGCTAAGACCGTGGAGACTTGGCTGTCTGTGTAGGATCTGGAAACCTCTACTGGGGAAGGTGTTTGTGGGGAGGAAGGAGCACTCGTTTTCCTGAGTAGAACTGATGGAGGAGGCGCAGTGCACAGGCAGTGACTGACCGCCAAGGCCTCGTCCGCCTCGTCCTTGGCCTGTAGGTGCTCCGTCCTTGTTCACATCCACAGCCATAGAGCAGGTGCAGGCCTTGGGATTTCCTGGGAACAGAAAGCCAGGTGGTAACTGAGCTCCACTGGGTGCCGTCCCTGCCTAACCTGGAGCATCTCTCCCTGTAGTCCCTGCTCCCTGACTCCCTGAGCCAGCTGCCAGGCGGGGAGTACCAGAGGCAGCTCCTGGTAGCGCAGGCGCAGCTCCAGGGCAGCACCGCCAAGCTGCAGGCTGAGCTGCTGCAGAGTCAGGCGCGGCTGGCTGAGCTGGAGGCCCAGGTGAGGGCGGGGCAGCTGGCAGGGGCAGGGTTGTGATCGGCGGTGCCTCTATGAGCGGTGGAAGGCTTCCCCAGCCGGAGGAAGGATGTGAGCAGCACGGAGAATGGAGCACAGACTGAGGGCCCCAGGCGCTGTCGCTCCTCCGCCATGTCCTAGGTGCGGAAGCTGGAGCTGGAGCGGACCCAGCACACGCTGCTGCTGGAGAGCCTGCAGCAGCGGCACCAGGCTGACCTGGAGCTCATTGAGAGCGCTCACAGGTACCGCGCTCCTGCTGCTGCCCCAGCCCCGCCCTCCCCCCCAACCCCTAGCCCCAACACCAGAGGCCTGGGCTCCCCAGGCTCCTTCCCATCTGGCTCTGCCTTGGAGAGGCCCCTTCAGCCGCAGCCGTCTGCCCCCAGAGCCCCACCACTGGGTGTTCTGTTGGCAGAAGCCGCGTGAAGGTGCTCGAAACGTCGTACCAGCAAAGGGAAGAGCGGCTCCGGAGGGAGAACGAGGAGCTGGCGGCCCAGTACCTGTCTCACTGCCAGGAAGCTGAGCTGACCCGCGCTGAACTCGTTGCCCAGCATCAGCGGCGCTTAGCCGCTGCGGCGCAGGAGAAAGACCAGGAGATGGAGCGCCTGCGGGAGCTGCAGCGGTGAGGGGCGGGGCCGAGGGTGGGCGGGGCCGAGGAGCGGACAGCCACCACCGGGACCCTGAGATGCCGGCGCTACTGACAGGTGCCTGAGCACAGGCTCCATCCACTCACCTACAACCCACCGGAGTCCAGTGGCTACGTGGACCCTGAAGAAGGACTGCACCGTCGTGCCTGGCGCGCTGATGTGGTTGCCTTTCCGATGAGCACAAAACTAGGAAAAGGTCCTTAAGGACATCAGTGTCGATGAGGCCAGAGCAGGCCTTTAAGACCACTCAGCTTCGCAGACACAGAAGGGTCGTTGACAGACCTTTCTTTTCTTGTCCTTTCCTGATGCCATGTCCACCCTCAGGTGCTTTAATTCAGGATTCTTCCTCTGTGAAGTGTCCTTTGCTGGATAAAAGAAGGGATCTCCCCCCTAGAGAGTAGACGTGGTACTGAGGCACCAAGTTAGATACGACGGGGCGAGGGAAACTGAGGCTGTGCCTGGAGAGGGGCGGTGACGAGGCCCCAGGAGCACTGACTACTCAGGAGCTCTGCCAGGAGGAGCTGCCCAGTGGTATTCTATGTACTGCCTGTGCCAGGCCTGGCTCAGTGGGCACTTGGTCTCATCTCACCCACCCTCGGCCTCTCCTCACCTTCATCCTCCTCCTCACCCCCCTCAGCCTTTCCTCACCGTCAGCCTCTCCTCGTCTTCAGCCTCTGCTCACCTCCCTTGGTCTCTCCTCACTTTCATCCCCCTCCTCACCCCTCTTGGCCTCTCCTTACCCCCCCTTGAGCTCTCCTCACCCTTGGTCTCTCCTCACCCACCCCCCGTCTCTCCTTGTCCCCCCCATCTCTCCTCATCCCCCCTCGAGCTCTCCTCACCCTCAGCCTCTTCTCACCCTCAGGGCGTCCATCCTGGAGATGCGCAAGGACCATGAGGAGCAGCTGCAGCGGCTGAAGCTGCTGAAGGACCGAGAGATCGATGCTGTCACCAGCGCCACCTCCCACACGCGGTATGTGCCCGGCCAGGCCCTGCCCACGGAGAGGTGGTGCTGGGGTTCCCAGGACGGGGTGACCTGCTCCTCCTTCAGGTCCCTGAACGGCATCATTGAGCAGATGGAGAAGTTCTCCAGCAGCCTGAACGAGCTGTCTTCCCGTGTGGAGGCCTCGCACCTTACCACTTCCCAGGAGTGGGAGTTGGGGGTCCGACAGCGTGATGAGCAGTTGCGAGGTACCACATGGTGAGGTGTCCCCTCCTGCATTCTGGGCACTCCCTCACTGGAAAGGGCCCACCTGGGAGGAGTGAGGTGGGCGGGCAGTGAGCCATGTGGCACCCTCAGCCCTGCAGGACAGGCTGGGCCGGCAGCAGCGGGACATGGAGGAGGAGCGGGGTAGACTGCAGGAGGTCATCGCAAAGATGGAGGCGCGCCTGAGTGAGCAGAGCCGGCTCCTGGAGCAGGTGAGGGCCCCTCTCCCAGCGCACTGTCCTAGCTTCCCCCGTAGCCAGTCAGGAGGCCTGGGGGCTTCCCACTGAAGCCTCTGTGCCTCCCAGCCACCCTGCCCTGGCCCTCAGCACCACCTGCCTGAACACGCGCTGGCCTCCTGACCAGGCCCCCACCTGACGCTCCCTACCCTTGTCACCCCACCAGCCACACTCACCCAGCAGCCGCCTCCGGGGCCGCCTCCACAGTCTGGCCCACCCTGGGCATCCAGCTGCTTTTCCCGCTTGTCCTTCCCCACAGCTGCTGACGCCTGCCATACGGGAGAAGGGCACTTGCCGCTAAACGCCATTCTAGATAGCTGAATTGTCAGATACATTTTTTAACTCCCTATATGTTTTTCACCTCCAAGAGCAAGCTTTATTCTTTAAAAAATACTAACTTTTTATTTCTCTTGTACTAATTATTTCCCAATAATGTTCATGGTGGGAAAACTCAAGTACAGGGAACAATAGAGGAGAAAGTAAATTACCCACTAGTCAGATACCCACTGATGACGTGATATGTATTCTGTAGACATGTCAATATGTAAATGTAGATATTTTATTTTATTTATTTGCTTATTCATTTGTAAACTTCACCAAGCCCCTGCCTCATGCCAGCCACAGCTCAGCTTCTTAACCACAAGGGACTAGCCTTGGGCTCAGAGGTGCCCCATGTTCCCCAGCACAGGGTGAAGCTGCTATTTGCAGTTCGGTTGCTGGGAGGCAGCCTGAAGCTGGCGATTCTGGGGGCGGGAATGTTGCTCTTCTTTCACCCTCCCGAGCCACCAAGTGCCTCTCAGCAGCAGTTCTGGGGCCTCAAGCCTTGGTGCAGTGGGAGAACTGAGGGCCAGCTGGGGCCCTGTGGGTCCTCCTCTCAGGCAGAATCCCAGGGACAGGTCCAGCCGACCCTCTCAGGCACCCCTCACTGTCACCTCTTTGGAAAGGAGTGTTTCTGGCATGGGTGGGAGACGGGGGTGGGTTTGCAGGGAGCAGGCACTCAGCCTGATGGTGCCTGCAGGAGCGCTGGCGCGTGAGTGCTGAGCAGTCCAAGGCTGAGTCCGCGCAGCGCTCCCTGGAGGAGCAGAGGAAGGTCATGGTGCAGCAGACCACCATGGAGAGGGAGGAGCTGGAGCGGGCCAAGGTGAGTCCCATCACAGCTGTCCCCCGCCGCCCCCTGCGCCAGCCCAGCCTCACACTGTGCCCCCCCTCCCCCAGAGCGCCCTGCTGGAGGAGCAGAAGGCCGTCATGCACAAATGTGGGGAGGAGCGGCGGCGCCTGGCCGCCGAGTGGGCCGAGTTCTTTGCACAGCAAAAGCTGAGTAAGGAGCGGGCAGAGCGCGAGGCAGAACGGGCCTTGCAGGCGGACGCCCAGCGGGAGGGCACCCTCGTCAGCCTGGCCAAGGTAGGGCCCAGGGCCTCTGGGACGCCTGAGGGCCTGGGGACCCTGCCCCTGGAGGACCCCTTTCCTGTCCGCTTCTCCATCCAGATGCAGCACCTCTCACTCGGTAAAGAAGAGTAGAGTGACGATTAGAATGTAGGAATGAGAACAACAGTTACATCATAATAATGATAGTAACTTCATTGTATCGTTCTCAGTGCTGTACACACATTTTCTTATTCTATCCTTGCGATGTAGACATTTTAGAAATAAGGAATGAGATTCAGAGAAGTTGAGACCTGCTGTGATCTCGAGGCATGTTAGCAGCCGCAAACGCCTGGCCCAGGCCCCCAGCTCCTCCTCTGAGCCCCTTGCCGCGCCGCTTCCTGCCCAGTGTCCGGGTGGACAGAGCTGCAGAGACGTGAAGGCCGGGTGTGCCCGGAGGAGACGCATCCAGGCTCTCTGTCTCCAGGAGCAGGCAGAGCTCAAGATCCGGGCCAGCAAGCTCCAGGCCAAGGAGGACCAGCTGGCGGCCGAGTGGGAGGCACTGGAGCGAGAGCGGCAGGAGCTGCGGCTGGAGAAGGAGCGGGTCAACGCAGCCGCGTTGCGTGTCCGGCTCCGCGCCGAGGAAGTGGAGGGCATGAGCAAGGTGTGTGCGTGTGTGGCTGGGGCACGGCAGGGACGCCTGAGCCCGGCCACCCCTCTGAGCCCGCGGCCTTCCTGCAGGTGGCCTCAGAGAAGTACGAGGCTGGGGAGCGGGCGCTGCGCGAGGCCCAGCAGGTGCAGTCGGAGCACCAGGCAAGGCTCCGGCTGGTGCAGCAGCAGCAGGAGCAGCTGCGGCAGCAGGAGCAGCACGTGCACCAGGCAAGGCGCTGCCCTGGCTCTGCACCCATCCGCCCGCCCTTCCTCCCTTCCGCGGCCTCCTGCCCTCACTCACAGTTGCCCTGTTCTCCCCGGGGACGGGGACAGGAACATCTGAGCCTGGCCCAGCAGAGGTTGCAACTGGACCGTGTCCAACAGGACCTGCCCTCCAGCCTCGTGGGGCTGCTCTCCAGGCTGCAGGGTCCGGCAGTCCCCAGCCTGGGCGGTGAGTGGCTCCAGAAGGAAGCACATGGGCCCAACGGCCCCAGCAGAGCGGTGGCAGGAGAACCCCCAACGTCCAGCTGCAGGGTGGGGAGGCCCTCTGGGGTTTAGAACAGCTCGTTATTGCCCTTTACACAATAATGCATGTCAGTTATAGAAAACGAAGTCAGAAATAGGGGGAGAATGATTTAAAACATATATCACCCTCAGCCCCACTCTGTAGCCTAGGGAGAACCACTGTTAACATTTTGATGCGTAACGTTTCAGACTTTTGCGTGTATGTTTTTAAGAACAAAAATGGGATCATATCATATGGTGTATTATAACTTGATTTTTTCATTCAGTAATATACCTATGGAGTCCCTGGGTGGTACAAGCAGTTACGTGCTCGGCTGCTAAACAAAAGGTTGGAGGTTTGAGTCCACCCAGAGGCACCTCGTAAGAAAGGCCTGGCAATCTACTTCCCAAAAACCATCCATTGGGAACCCTGTGGAGCACAGTTCTATTCTGACAGCAGCTGCTTTTAAAATACATATGGGACATGGTTTCATGTCAGTAATTAAACATTTAATCGTAATTCTTAATCAACATGATTTTCCATTACGATGCCCTACTGATTTTTTTCACTAAGATAAGCAGTGCCTCGGGAAATTTTTGTGCATACATGTTGCAGCCTTGCCTAATGATTTCCACTGAGTAGACTCCTAGGAGTGGACTTGCCAGGTAAAAGCACATTAACATTTTTTAAAGGCCATGTGCCCTCCGGAAAGTTTACCCTGTGGCCCGGGGAAACAAATCTGCCCGTCCCGCTCACCATCTTATCCCTGACTTACTCCTCTGCCTCTGCAGCCGTTGGGACTCTTGCTCCCACCAGCCCTCCGTGCAGCCAGCCGCTGGCCAGCCTGGTCCCCTCACACCTCCACGCCAAGCTGGTGCTGCTGAAACACACGGCCGAGCAGGTGAGCGTCCTAGAGCAGAGGACAGCCAGGCCTGCTCCCACTGGACTCGTGCAAGTCCTGTGCTCACTGTCATGACAAGCGGGGTCTTCCCAGCTCAGGGCGAGGCCAGAAGGGGTACACCTGCCCCAGGGTAGGCTGGCACCACCCCCGGAGGAGAATAGTAACCGCAGATTGCCTAGTAAGCACATGCTGAGACCTGTCCCATTGGGCAGCTTCTGCACCAAGCAGTTGTCACTTCACAATAACCTGTAATGATAACAGTAAGCATGTACTGAGCGTTTCCTGTGTGCCAGGCTCTGTGCCGAAGCTTGATGTGCTTTTTAAGTGTTTTCCCTCACGCAGCCCTGCACGTAGGTGGTCCTGTCCATTTTACAGACAAGGAAACTGAGGCTTAGAGAGGTGAAGTCCCGTGCTGATAAGAACACAGCTAATAAGTGGCCTTGCCAGGACTCAGGGCCTGTGTCCTCCAGGCCCCACTGCTTCCCTGAGCTGGGCAGAGCCAGGGAGGGAGTGGGAGGGGGCTCCCGGGGTGAGCCAGCTCAGCTAGCACCCCAGGACCCCCACTTCTCGCTTAGTCCCGAGAGCCAAAGTCTCTGTTCATGGAAGCATGTACGGGGGCAGCTGGAAGGTGACCGCTCACCGACTCTGTCTTTCAGGACCGAGATTTCTTGGAGAATGAACAGTTCTTTCTGGAGACTCTGAAGAAAGCACCCTACAATATGACATTGAATTCAGCCTGAGAGGCACCCTGGCTGCCCCCTCAACCTAGGGCACAGGCCTGGACTCACCCGCTGCCCAGCTCTGCGGAGGTGGTACTGCCTCCCACCAGGTGCCCAGGGAGGGTTCCAAGTGTCCAGAGCCCGATTACAGCTCTTCCTGTGACAGAGTGCCGGCACATTCTTTCTGAGTGTCTCAGCTGTGGCCCAGAGCAGGCAGCCTCCGGGCCCCAGGACTTGGGGGTGTAGTGGCCTCTGGGGACAGCGTGGTGGCGAAGGTTTCTCAGCCACATGCCACCTTTAGCAACAGCTTCGGTTCTTCTGCCCCACAGCCATCCAGCTCACATCCGAGGGTCTAACCAGCAGCAAGTCCACCCAGCACCACCTGGGCTCTGTGGATCCTTCCCACCTCTGCGGGCACACGCCCTGGGATCTTCCTCCTCCCTGGGCCTGAGGAAGGGGCTGATCTCTAGGGGTCCATGGGGAGCTCTCCAGCCCTGAGAAGCTGGCAGAGACGTGAGGCCCCTCCCGATGGAGATGTCATTGTGAAGGGCCGTGAGGAAGGGGAGGCATCGAGGGCAGGGGGTGAGTGCCCGGCCGGCTGTGGCCTTGCATGTGCTGTGCTCTCGGAAGTCAGCCAGCCCTGACAGGCCCAGGTTTGCCCGCATGGGCCTCTTTGTTCCCGCACTGCCTGAGAAGCCAACTAGCTCGGCACGGACACGGGCCCCACGGCTTCTTCTTAGGGGCTCCTACCGGAGACAGGATGGGGTCTGCAGGATGATGGCAGGGGCTTAGGGGGGCACAAGGAGAGAGGCCTCTCTGGGCTCCTCGCTTGCGTGCAGCCACAGCATGCTGGCTGTGAGGGCGGGCAGCCTGAAAGCTCTGTCCGTGGGAGGAATAGCCCAGCGTCTAGGGACCCGGAAGGGGGCCTGCTGCCCAGGCCGCTGCCACCCCCAGGTGCCTTCTCAGTTCTCCACGTATGGGCCATGTGCCCAGGACGGCTGGCAGGGGGCCAGAGGGAGAGGGGACGGGAGGACTGGCAATTAACCTCAGCAGACCCATGGACAGACCCAACTCAACCAAGAAAATCACCATTACTTGCAAAGCAGCTTCCATCAGGGACCAGTTTATCCCCTTCCAGCGGAGGGAACGCCCACGTGAGCCAACGTGAGCCAGCCGGCGGAGGGGCCGTGTGCCTGGTGGGGTGGAGGCACGCAGGCTTTCAGAGGGGCCTTATTATTTACCAGCAGTTTACAGCTTTGTTTTGGACCCATTAAATTGCTACAGTCTTAGTGACTGAATTCTTGTAATTGCCATGTCTCATCAGTTTGTAAGGAGCCCTGGTGGCACAGTGGTTAAGCGCTCAGCTGCAAACCTAAAGGTCAGCAGTTTACACGCAGCACCCGCTCTGGCAATTTGCGTTGGTAAAGATTACAGCCTAGGAAACCCTATGGGGCAGTCCTGCGCTGCAAGGTCATTATGAGTTAGGATGGAGTCATCCGCAACAGGATTTTTTTTTTTTATCAGTTTGTGCTGCTTTTGTTAGAAATGTTTGTAGCCCTGTTATTTGCTGAAAAACAAGTCTGAAAAAAGCAGCTGGGCTCTGTGCCTCTGGCCGGGTGCTGTGGCCCTCCCTCCCCTCCAGCACCTATGATCCAGGACAGCTAGCTAGATCCTTATCATCGTCCCTGTTTCAGAGATGAAGAGATTAAATACCTTGCCCAAGGTGACAGAGCCTGGATTGGGCTTCTAGTTGGACAGGTTCCAAAGCCCCAGGTCTCAGCCACATCTTTCTGCCGCCTTCTAGAAGAACAACTACACACAGCTCTCCTGGGAAGGAGAAGAACTTGTAAAGCTGCTTCTCGGGTTGGTGCTTCCACTGAGCAGGGAAGCCCCAGGTGCCCTGGTAGAAGCCTTTGTTGAAGCCTGGAATTCCTTCTTTCAGCACGCCCTTGGCGAGTGCCCACCATGAGCCAGCCATGTGCCCACTGTCAGCCAGGCGTGTGAAGGGTCTGGGAGCAGCCGGCACTGAAGCAGTTATTGGAGGATGTGGGGTGGTTGCACTTGTGTGTTCGGGAGCTCTGGCAGGGAGGCCCACCTTCAAGGCAGAGAGTAAGGAGATGATATAGAATTAGGGGGTGGGTCAAGATGGGCTTTGTGTATTTTATAGAGTTTGAACTTTCTTCTTTAGGGCAGCGGGTAGTCATTGAAGGATTCTAAACAAGGTTGGATCATATTTGCATTTTAGAAAACCCATTCCGGCTATGAAGTGGAGAACAGAGGGCTGGTTGCAGCCGTGCAGGGGAGAGGACAGGCTGAAGTGGGCTGTGGACAGGGAGGGCTGGGAAGGGAGACGTTTCAGGAACCCCAGGCTTCTGGCATGGGCAGCTGGGTGGTGTCAGGTACACGGTGCCTGTGAGATGGCCAAGCGGAGACAGTCCACAGGCGCTCGCTTATAGTTGACACTGCACTCGGTGCCTGTAACTGTCACTGGCATTAAAGCAAGGCAAGTCACCTAATTGTCCCCAGGCCACAGACATTCTAAAGGGCTGCACGCAGGGATGAGTGTCCTATATCTGCTAGTCTTTTCCCCTGCAGAATTGTAAACAACACCTCAATGTCATAGCCCTAAAGTTAATTCAGTTCCCTGAATTAAGAAATACTGGTGGAGAGTAAGGAGCCCTGATAGCGCAGTGGTTAAAGCACTTGGCTGATAACCAGAAAGTCAGCAGTTCAAACCCACTAGCCACTCCATGGAAGAAAGATGTGGCAATCTGCTTCCATAAAGATGTACAGCTTTGGAAACCCTATGGGGTGGTTTCTGTCCTGTCCCGTAGAGTTGCTATGAATCGGAATCAACTAGACAGCAGTGGGTTTGGTTTGGGTTCGTGGAGAGTAGCAATCATGAAAGACTGGTGGAGCCATTACTTCCTGTTATTTGTGTTACTTGCTTTACTTTGAGACGTGGGAATCCGTCGAAGCCTTCCAAACAGCTAAATTCTAAGCAAGCCCCACTCTGTGTGTGTGTGTGCTTTAGGTGGACGTTTACAGCTCAAGTTAATTTCTCATTCAAAAATTTATACACATGCTGTTTTGTGACATTGGTTGTAATCCCCACAGTGTGACAGCACACTCCCCCTTTCTACCCCGGGTTCCCTGTATCCATTCATCCAGTTCCTGTGCCTTCCTGACTTCTTGTCTTGCTTTTGGGCAGGAGTTGTCCATTTGGTCTACTATATTTGATGGCACTAAGAAGCACTTTCTTCAAATGTGTTAATTGTTTTTTATAGGCCTGTCTAATCTTTGTCTGAAAAGTTGGCTGCAGGAGTGGTTTCAGTTCTAAGTTAGCAGAGTATCCAGGGGCCACAGTCTCGGGTTCCTCCAGTCTCTGTCAGACCAGTAAGTCTGGTCTTTTTTCATGAATTTGAACTCTTCTTCTCCCATTCTGTCCGGGACTCTCTGTTGTGATCTCTGTTAGAGCGGTCAGTGGTAGCCAAACAGCATCTAGTTCTTCAGGGCTCAGGCTGGTGGAGGCTTCGGTTCATGTGGTCCTTTCGTCCTTTGGGCTAGTATTTTCCTTGTGTCTTTGGTTTTCTTCATTATTCTTTGCTCTGGACAGGAAGGAACCAATAAATTTATCTTCGATGGCTGCTCACAAGCTTTTAAGACCCCCGACGCTACTCACCAAAGTGGAATGTAAAACATTTTTTATGAACTATGTTATGCCAGTTGACCTAGATGACCCCCGAGACTATGATCCCCCAGCCCCGAAGCCCGACTCTTAAAGGGGTTCTAGGACAATGAGAGAACAGGAACAGTTCTCAAAACTAAGGACCAGTGGAGGAATACCAGCACCCACTGACAAGGGTCCATGCCTAGGACTCTGGAGGGCCTGTGTGGCTTCCTTTCTTGAGGAGCAGGTTGGCAGAACTGAGGACTGACTGGGCTGGGTGGGAGGGGGGTGGGTTTACAGGCAAGTAGAAGAGAATTCAGAAACACAAGGAAAAGACAACAACAAAAGAGGGTACAATGTAAACAGACAAGCTCAAGGGCCGAGGCCCAGACCACTGCTACCGAAACTGAAAGCCAGGGCGAGAGGTTTCGCTGTTTGGCTGCTGTTTATACAAACCAATTTCAAGTGGCCACTTCCTGCTGGATGGAGAGACCGCTTCATCCTGTGGTAGCACGAATATGAGGATCCAGGCCTCTGCTGGTGCCAGAGCAAACCACCTGGTGACAAGTCCTGGCTTGGGGCATCCTGGAGGGAGCACTCCAGTGGGGCTGGGAGGTAGCTGGGCCACAGGGATAAAGGTGAGGGGGAGGAAGGTAGCAATGGCAGCATGTGCAAACACCCTGTGGCCAGAGACAGCAAAAGTGTTAGACTAAATGAAGAAGGTTCGGTGTAGAAGCTTGAGTTACAGGACAGAGGGGCCAGACTGACAGAGGTACCAAGTTTTCCCTTAGAACTGGATCCCAAGAGCAACACAGAGCCCTGGCTGGAAGGGTTTGGGCAGGGACACAATTCCATTTGTCTTCACCACGCCACTTACGCCGGTGTGTGGATATAACCGAAAAGAGTCAGAAGCTAACAAATACAGTGCTTTAAGGGTTTTACATAACACTCATTTCATCCTCCCAACAACCTTACCTACTGCCATCGAGTCGATTTCCGACTCATAGCGAACCTGTTACCCGCTTTCCACCCCCCACCCCCCCAAATGAGGAGGCTAAATCATAGCAAGGGTAATGAGAAGATCATAATCTGGAATCTGAACTCAGGCCGTCTGCCTCCAGGATCTGAGCTCGTCACTGCCCCCTCCCCCATGATGCAGCAGCACCACTGGGAGCTCAGGGTGCCGCGTTCAGGGCGTGGGTGTGTTTGAGGAGCTGCACCAACGGCCCGCGCGGGGCGGCTGACCACTCGCGACTTGTGTCGCCCCCTGGTGGCGGCCGCGGACATGGGGCCCCTGCCACTCGGAGCTCCGCCCCGCCGTACGGACACTTCCGAAGCCGGGACGCCCCAGCCTCCTCCGGCCCGGGCGGAAAGCGCTCGGGCTTCCCGGGAAGGGGAGGGGTCTGGGACCTGGGCGGAGCGTGACTCAAAGACCTGGACCCGGGTGTGCAAGGCAACCAGCTCCGGGCGGAACGCCGAGACACGAGGCGGGGAGGGGCCTCCCGCGGCGCGCTCTGGCGCTGTGTGGCCACCTCTGCGGGGGGTCCTAGGAGCGGCGGCGGCGCAGACCTGGGCGAAGATGGCGGCGCCCTGGTGGCGAGCCGCGCTGTACGGAAGTCGGCGATGGCGGGCCTTCAGCACCTCAGGTAAGGAGGCTAAGGGTGGGGGGCTGCCGGACGACGCTATAGCCCGAGCCCTAGGCTCGAGCCAGCGCCGCCGCGGCTCCCGAAGGGCCAGCCTGACGCCCTTTCTGCCCGCAGCCGCCTGCAGCCGCCGGACCGCCCCGCTGGGGCCGATGCCCAACGAGGACATCGATGTGAGCAACCTGGAGCGGCTGGAGAAGTACCGGAGCTTCGAGCGCTACCGGCGCCGGGCGGAGCAGGAGGCGCGAGCTCCGCACTGGTGGCGGACCTACTGGGAGCATTTCGGGGAGAAATCAGGTGCGGGGCGTCCGGAGCAGGTGCTGTGGGCGCCGTCCTCGGAGCTCGGGGGCTGGCCGGCATCCTCCGCGAGCACGGAGGGACCCTTGCCGGCCCTGTGGATAGGGGTCACCTGGCTGAACCCTGTGTACGCTGTTGATGATTTAGTCCCAACAGAAATCTTAACATTCCGTACCTGGAACATTCCTTCCCGCTATCAGTAGAGTTCCAGCTTAGATATATCTACTAAAATCCTTTCCTGGCCCCCGAATTCCGAGTTAGGACGCCCTTCTGTGCCCCTAAAATACTCTGTATGTAGCCCTGGCCACCCTGAGGCCTGACTCTTCTCTCCTTTTCCCAGAGTGTAAGCTCCCTGAGGACAGGGGTTTCTCCTATCTTGACCGCCCTTAGACCGTTACAACCATACAATGCATAGCATGTTGGTGTACATTTGACTGAATGAAATTGAAAGGCCCTGGGGAAAGTTGACTTAGGGACCCTACGCTCCACTTACATTTACTGAGTACATCCCTTTTGAAAGCATTTACGGAGGCAGTTCTTATGGTTGTTAAAGGCATAGGCATGGAATCGTAAGTAACCTGACTTAAACTCCAGCCAGAGCTCTTAGAGGTGACTTCCCTGAGCTTCAATTTCCCCAACTATAAAGTGAAATAATTGTGTCTACATCACCAGATTGTGAGGATTAAAGGGTGCAGTTTGTTGGAATTCTTAGATGAACGCGTCCCTGATAAGGGCTCAACGCGTGTTACTTACTGTTGTCAGTGCATGGTGTAAATGGGTGAAGGTATTGGGATACACGTTCTCTGGGGCTTTGCTACTCAACATCTGTCACCGAGGAGCGTGTTTGAAATGCAGAGTCTCAGGCCCCACTCCGACCTGCTGAATCAGAATCTGCATTTTAATAAATTTCCCAGATGATTTGTATGCTTTGCCTATTAAAGGGTGAGAAGTTCTTCTCTAAAGTCCTTCTAACTTCAGCCATTAATTCCCCTGGGGACACAGGTGTGTCCACGGGCAGCTGTGAACTGGCTCGAATGTGATCCCAACTGTAATTGGGATGACCATGCGCCATGATTTCCCATGACCCAGGGAGCCCTACAAGGTGGTGTGACTTGGTTTACCAGTTGCCATGGAGTCGATTCCAACTCCTGGTGACCCTGTGTAAGTCAGAATAGAACTGTGCTCATAGAGTTTTCAATGACTGGTTTTTATTCGGTAGATCATCAAGCCTTTCTTCCAGGGAGCCTCTGGGTGAGCTTGAACCACCAGCCTTTCTGTTAGTAGCCGAGAGTGTTAACTGCTGCACTACTCAAAGACTGCTTGTGACCTGGTTTAGGGATCAGGAAGTGCATTCGCAAGTTGTATCCAGCTCGCTCTGCCACTGGGCCCTGTTGTGGTCTGAAGCAGATTGCACAGAGTTTTAGTTTTGTGAATTAAACACAAAGCTTTAGCAGCAGAGCATGCATAAGAGGACTCAGCAGGGACAGGCGGCCTAACCAAGCCGACCTGACCCCACTCACCCAACAGACCCCAAAGACAAGATTGACATTGGGCTGCCTCCACCCAAGATCTGCCGGACCCAACAGCTGCTGGAGCGGAAACAGGTCCTCCGGGAGCTGCGGGCCAACGTGGAGGAGGAGCGGGCGGCCCGGCTCCGCACAGGTAAGCCCTGGGGGGTGGAGGGGGTGGGCTGTGTCCTTGCCCCTACCCCCACACTGCATCCCAGCTGGCATCTTCCTTCCCAGCACAGATCCCACTGGAGGAGGTGCGGGCTGAGTGGGAGAGGACCTGCGGCCCCTACCACAAGCAGCGTCTAGCTGAGTACTACGGCCTCTACAGAGACCTGTTCCACGGTGCCACCTTCGTGCCCCGCGTTCCCCTGCACGTGGCCTATGCCGTGGGTGAGGAGGACCTGATGCCCGTGTACCACGGCAACGAGGTCACTCCGACGGAGGTAACTGCACGCCCGCGCCCCCTGCTCCTTGCCCTGTGTGCACACCCGTGCCCACAGCCACACATGCCCACAGCCTGGTCTCGGACAACTGCTGAGCTGGGGGATTGGTCGTGTTTCTCTTTCTTTTCACTTCTTGCTAACAATACCATAAGGAGCCTGGTGGTGCAACAGATAAGCACTCAGCTGCTAACCAAAAACATTGGCAGTTTGAACCCATCCAGGGGCTCTGCAGGAGAAAAATCTGGCAAGCTGCTTGCAAAAGATTACAGCCAAGCAAACCCTGTGGGGCAGTTCTGCTCTGTCACATGGGGGCGAATGAGTTGGAATTGACTCGATGGCACCTGACGACAAACCATGCCATGACAGTTTGCAAAAAGAATAAAGAAATGGAAAAAAGAGAAGATACATCTTCAGACACTCCTGGGACTGGCCTGGTGTCTCTGGAGTCCCCTCCCACCCCCGTTCCTCGGCTCTCGGGCCCGTGTGGCTCAGTTCTGTGGACGGAAGCTCTGCAGGTCCCTTCCACAGCAGCTCTTTGCCCTCACAATTGTGCAGGGCTGCTGAGAGCTGGGATCAGAGTGGCTGTCCCTTCTCCCAGGCTCCCTCAGGCTCTGCCCTCCCATTTGCAGGGGTCTGTTAAGGAGCCCTGGTGGTGCAGTGGTTAAAGCACTTGCAGCTAACCAAAAGCTCAGCCATTCCAACCCACTATCCGCTCCACAGGAGAAAGATGTGGCAGTCTGCTTCTGTAAAGGTGTACAGCCTTGGAAACCCTATGGGACAGTTCCGCTCTGTTGTATAGGGTCGCTATGAGTCGGAATCAACTCAGCGGCAATGGTTTGGGTTTGGTTTGCAAAGTTTGTCTGTCTCTGGTGGGGGTAACAGCTCCCCTGTTCTCTCCCCACCAGGCCACCCAGGCCCCAGAAGTGGCCTATGAGGCAGACCAGGACTCCCTGTGGACGCTGCTGCTCACCAGCTTGGGTAGATGTCTGGGGCTTTTGGGACCTGGGAAGCAGGGGAGGGGCCGGGGCCGGTGGAGAGCTGCAGCCCCAGCTCCTTCCAGAGGAGGGGGCAGCCGGGCCCACACTCAGCGGGTGTGTTTGTGTGCAGATGGACACCTGCTGGAGCCAGACGCCGAGTACGTCCACTGGCTGGTGTGAGTACCTGGCCGGGAGTGGGTCAGGCAGGCGAGGAGGCCCCAGTTTCCTGAAAAGAGCTCTGGACCTGAATCTCACTCTTGGCCCCACCACGGGTTAACCATAGGACCTTGGACTTGCCTCTTATTTCTCTGAGCCCATTTACACATGTTTAAAACAAGGGTGATGCCTGACCCACCCTGAGGGCTGTTGTGAGGATCATGTGGGGAAGGGAGCACGAGCGTCCTTGTAAACTGTGCCGTGCTCTCAGAGCTTGTGGAACCCCTGGACAATCCCTGCAGCACCCAGGCTGGGCTGCCTTTTGTCTTCTCAGTGGCCCCTGGCTCTGAGTGGGCAGAGATCAGGCAGGTGATCCCAGCTTTGGGCAAATCAGGGCTAGTAACTGGGAGACTGGTTTCAGTCCTTTTTATCAGCTCCAGTTGTCAGCCCGGACAGCAGGGCCATCTGGGGTCTTCCTGGGGCTGGTACAGTGGCCATCCCAGAGCCGGGCTGGACAAACACGCCCTGACCAGACCCCAGAGCTTTCAGGAAACGAGAGAAGCAGAGCAAATGGCCGGGGTCGACCTCCCAGCTCCCCACGGCCTGGGATGGGCAGCTGGGCCTCGCTCTCATCCTGATGCTGTCTGGAACCTGGTCCTCAGCCTCTGAGCCCCACCTTGCCATGGAGCTGGAGCCGTATATCCGCAGGTTTGCGGAGTTCCACTTCCTACTTTATCTGATGATAAAGATGGTTCTAGGGTCTGTCTCCTGGAGCTGCAGCCACCCCGAGGGAGCAGGAGGGTGGAGTGCTCCCTCAGCTGGCCATTCACAGACCTTCCCTCCCACCAGAACCAACATCCCGGGCAACCGGGTAGCCGAAGGCCAGGAGACATGTCCCTACCTGCAGCCCTTCCCTGCCCGAGGCTCCGGATTCCACCGCTTTGCCTTCCTGCTCTTCAAGCAGGATAAGCCAATCGACTTCTCTGAGGACACCCGCCCCTCACCCTGGTAATCCACACCCCCACACGCTCTGGGTCTCAGGCCAGCTCCTCGAGAATGTTGATCTTGCTCAGTTCTCCCGTCTCTTGACTTTGGTCTTGAGACTGGTGCAGCATAGGATGCCAGGCAGACCCTATGGGGCCTCTCAGGATGGCGGGGCTGGGGGTATGGCGCTCTGGGGCACCTCTTGCCGCTCCCAGATGCACCCTTCTTCTTACAGCTACCAGCTTGCCCAGCGGACCTTCCACACTTTTGATTTCTACAAGAAACACCAGGAAGCCATGACTCCAGCTGGCCTGGCCTTCTTCCAGTGCCGTTGGGATGACTCGGTGACCCACGTCTTCCACCAGCTGCTCGGTAAGGCCAGCATGGGGTGCAGGGGCGCTCACAGACCTCTCCTGGACCTGCCAGGGAGCAGCTGCTGTCTGAGAGGGCCACAGGAGGCTGGCGGCTAGCTCCTAACAGGCAGGCCCCAGCAGCAGGCAGGTGCAGGGCTCCTATGCAGGATCGCCACCTGTGTCCACTGTCTTCTTGCAGACATGCGGGAGCCCGTGTTTGAGTTTGTGCGGCCATCCCCTTACCACCCCAAGCAGAAGCGATTCCCGCATCGGCAGCCCTTGCGCTATCTGGACCGGTACAGGGACAGTCATGAACCCACCTATGGCATCTACTGAGGGCCCGAGTGCCACCCACCTGTTTCGGTGGGCTACACCTCTCAGGCCACCCTGCCCAGCTCCGGCTGGCAGGAGCATAAAGACACGGCTCTGCAGGGCCAAGCTGTGGGCTCGGGCTCTGCCTGAGGCCACCCCCTGCGGCCCTCCCAGCAGGCCTGGGGTGCAGTGGTGGGACAGAGGATGTAAATAAAGACGGTTTCTGCTGTAGCTGGTCTGGGTCTGTGTTCCGGGAGCAGCCAGAGCCCCCCGGGTGGGTGGTTTTGCTTGCTGGGTGGGGAGAGGCCGCCTCCCACCCTAGGAGGTGACGCCTCACCTCTGCCTCCTGAGGGTCTGGTCTGGCTGCTGGAGATGGTGCAGAAGAAAATGCAGGCAGGGCATCTTAGCCACTTCCTACAAGTTCTGGAAAGATTTGCGTCTGAGCGTCAGCCCTTCTGTCAGTGCTCCCCTTGTGGGGACCAGTTCCTGGCCTCACGCCCGAGGTAGGGTCTCAGCGCCCACCTGTTGACAAACCTGCTTTTGGCTTGTTCAGGCTGGGAGGTGAGTGGGGCAGGGCCAAGCTGACCAGCCATGGCCTCTGGCCCCCCATGCGACCAGTGAGCCCAGGTTTCCTTTTCGGAAAAGGAGTCCTGCTCCCTCCTACCTGCCTCAGGAGTCACGTGACGCCAGACCGCGTTAACATTTGCTGAGCACCAGTGTATGGAGTAGGCCCTGTCCTGGCCCGGGTGGCTGAGAAGCTGCCATGGGGAATCACCTTGGTGCTGCCCCTTTCTCCTGAGGCCTGGTAGAGGCAGCACACAGAGAAGGGTCAGAGACAAGTCTGCAGCTGTGCGTCCCTTGAGGAACGGGTGTGCAGCCTCCTTTCCAAAAAGCACACAAAGGAAAATGTCTGCTTCCCTTCCTGCCTTGGCCGTCAGGGAAGCTGAGGGCTGGAGGAAAGCTCCGTTACGACAGCTGTTAGTATCGCTGTTCTCGTTTTCTCAGCGCTACTTGTCTGTCAGCATTTCTATTTTAATAGCATTGTTACCCCTTTGGTCAAAAGATTTCCCAAATCATTTTCAGAAAGGGCAAAGAAACCTACAAATAAATACTGAAAAATAAACGGCCAAAAATAAAACTTAAAAAATAAAGATACTACACACCTTCAGATACTCTTCCTGAGGTGAGGCTCAGAGAGGGGTGAGCTGGCGCTGTGGGGAGACAGGGCTGGAGATGTGCGGGATGAATAGCTCTGTCAGGCGGGCAATGGCCAATTCCAGAGCCCTCTGGGCTGACTCCCCGCTCGGCCGAGAAAGCCCTGAACCCTCCCTGCACGGTTAGGATTTGTTTTCTTCCTCTCTAAAGGGAAAGGGTGCCTAAGTCAAGGCAAGGTCTGCATGGCTGAGAGGACCCACAAGCCCGCCAGCCTGATGCTGACCGTCGTCCCGTTCAGGCTCGGGACTGTCACCCTGGCCCACTGGCCCAACACACTGCCCAGGAAGCCAGTGGGCAAGTGGTCAGGATCCCTTCTCTCTGCTCAGCTGCAGGGGAACCTTGAGATGCCCCTCTAAAATGTGGGGTTGCAGAATGGCTGGGCCCTCCTGACAGTGAACACTCCTGAAAGAAGGCCCCGCGGCAAGGGGACTCTGACTGCAGTGGAAAGTCGCTTTGGGTATAAACGAGCATAGACACGTGAACTGGTCTCTGTCTTGGTGACCAGAAACTTCACTGTCTGAAAACCAAAATCAGGCATAGCCCAGGGAAGGGAGACACCCCAGCCTTGGCAAGTGCCTGACACCCAGCTCCAGGACAAAGTGCTGCGCGGCTGGGGTGGGGCGGGGCTGTTTATTGAGCACCAACCATGTGCCTTGAGCTCTTATCACAGTTCCACTTAATCCCCCAAACCCTGAGCCATGGGTGTTATTATCCCCCTTCTCGAGGCTGCACCGCAGAGGACTTGGCTGGGTGCCCGGCCCAGGAGCAGGCACTGAGGGTCCACAAATGGAGTGGAGATGCCAGGACGGGACCGGCAGAGCCGGACTCCAACACCCAGTCTGCCTAGCGCATGTGGAAGCCGCCCAGGCGGTCAGGGGTGGACCCGGCGGCGCCCTGCATCCGGGGGCGCTGGTGTGGCTGCCGCTGGGGGCGGGTCGTTGGAGATAAGCCCGAACTGTCACCCAGGCTCCTCCCCAGGTGCCGCCCGCGGCCCCTTTAAGAGCCCGGAGCCGCCGCCGCCGCCGCCATGGCCGCGCAGCAGCTTGAGGAGAAGCTGACCTGCGCCATCTGCCTGGGGCTCTACCGCGACCCGGCAACGCTGCCCTGCGGCCATAATTTCTGCGAGGCTTGCATCAAGGACGGGTGGGCGCACTGCGGGCGGGAGTGCCCCGAGTGCCGCGAGCCCTTCGCCGACGGCGCCGTGCTGCGCCGCAACGTAGCTCTCAGCAACGTGGTGGAGCTGGTGCGCGCTGCCGAGCGGGGGCCCGAGCCCGAGCCCGGAGCCGAGCCCCGGCCCCAGC